AGAGAAAACAAAATTTACAGTTTTATCTACCACTTTAGAGAGTAAACGGAACAGAATCATTTTAGCTAAATTCTGATTAGTGAGGGCAGAGCTAATAGTCCGGTGGCTACTGTCGCCAAAAGCTGTTAATACTGCACTCAATGACTCATCTACCAAATTTTGCACAGTTGTTCTAGGGTCCATTCTGAACAATTTTGCTCGATTAGACATTTGATCCGACCTTGCAAACGCCTGCTATGGCCAATTTTAGTCCAAATTTTCGGAATTCCGCCTTAAGTTGTCCAAATTGGTCAACTGGCAACCAGTGGTTCGATCTTGATGTTCGAACATGTTTTTCCGACTAAGTCGGATGTGCTGAACACGATGGCGTTGAGCAATTGAAGATATCTCTTACCGTTTGGAAAATATTGAGGGTTGTTTCTTAAGTTTTGTTAAGTGAAAATTTGTCAATTTCGCTCTTTCCTATATTTGAGCACTTTAAAACCGGAATTTCGAAAAAGGACCTTTCCTATTGGCTATTGTACACTACCTGACGAGTAGAACGCAAAAAATCGGAAGTCTCTAGCACTTATGGTTTTCCCGCTATGCCCTCTCAAAGTTGACGCTGCGCGACTCCCTGCAGGAAAAGCCCCTAAGGGGCAGATAGGCAACCCGCCCGACAAAATGCCAAAAACGACGAGAAATCGCCCGTTTTCGGCCGTTCTTTCTGCAATCGGGCTGTTTGTGGTTTTATCTGTTGGTACGAGTGTCTGCGGGGATATTTTATCGGACCTGGGAGGGAAACAGCCTTGGCAACACTGAAATAGATCACATTGTAGAGCAGCGCAGGCGCGGGGCGGGCGGCGGGCGCCGATGAGCAAGGAAGGCCGAATAGGCTAGCGTACAAAACACGGTCCTGATTTACACTGCTCGCTGCTTATGACCTTAAGGTATGTCACACACTAACTGTCGCATAGCCACATTGTGGCCGCGTCAGTGTTTTTTCTTAGCAGAGCCGATTTCCGGGAATAAGCTAGCGTTAATTTTGTTATTGTTTTGCGTCAGCCGCCATGGCGTCGCCCGAGGCCAAAAAGACGCGGAGGTTTTCGAACCCGATCTCCCCAGGGGGTGCTTTTGACTGGACTGCATGTGTTATATGCCAGGAGAAAACCATAAGCAAGAGTACTGGGCCACTACTCTGTCCCGGTCTTAACTTCAATCCATCTGCCCACCTTGCGGGGTATAAGACGCTTGAGGAAAACCTGTTATCTTTTAAAAGAATACAGGCCCTCCCAACCTCTGTAAAACTACAGCACCTGGACGACGGCGCGGGTATAGCAAACACCCTTGCGAAGCAGAATGCCAAATACCACAGGGCTTGCTATTTAAAGTTCAACGGTACACAATTGAAACGTGCGGAAAAACGGGCTAGAACCGGAGAGGCGAAGTAAATATAATTTACTGTCAGATTTATTTCTCTGTTTTTTGCGCTCTTTCTTAACCCTGTATTATTGCAGGTCTTCTGAGAACAGCCCCAGCCCCTCGCCGTTAAGGCTCGCACAGGCACGTGCCTCTTCGTGCCCCTCTCCCTTGTCGTCCAAGTCGAAGGTAGAAGCAAAATGTATCATTTGCGGTGGGCCGGCTACGCGCAGGGAAGTCCTGCGCAGAATCCAAAGCGAGGAGCGGAGCAGGGAACTCACACTCTTGGTCCAGGCCAGCACAGATGAAAACCTGAGGGACATTTTAAAGGCGCAAAATTTGGCAGGAGTAGATTTTCAGGCCCAAGGGACGGCGTACCACAACACATGCTGGATTGCCTTACGGAACAGCGGCCGGAAGAGGGCGGACCAGCAGAGTGCCGAGGCGGTCCAGCTTTGTGAGAGCCTCGCGTTTGCGGATCTCCACACCCACATCCAGGACAATCTCGACTCTACTGAATCCAGGTGCCATAAATTTAAAATGAGTGAACTTACGCAAATCTATGCCCGGAGACTTGCTGAGCTAGATGGTTCAGATTTGAGTGAAATGACACCCGTTCACTCTACCCGCTTACGAGAGCGTATCATGGCAAAATTCCCAGAACTCATTGAAGAAAAAATAGGTCGCGAGTACCAGCTCATTTCTGAAAAGGCCTTGAAAAATTTAGTGAAAAATGTCGACAAGGACGAGGATGCCATCGCCCTTCGCAGAACAGTTCTTCTCCTGCAAGATGAAATGAATAAAATAGGGTTCCAGTTTGATGGGGAATTCCCTCCCAACTGCCAAGAAAACTCAATACCTTCGTCCCTTTTAGCAGTAATTTCCAGCATTATGTATGGCCCCTCAGCAGTTAACGTCGGCAGAGCCACACAGCCAGTGTTAGCTGTCTGTCAAACACTCATGTACAACTACCGCCTAGTTTCTCATTCTCATCGGGGCCCTGCAAAAAAACATTCGAAGGTAATTTTCTCTCTCTCTCTCTCTCTCTCTCTCTCTCTCTCTCTCTTTCTCCCCC